ATCGTGGCCAATGAAGTATTTAATATTGTTTAAATGTTTATAACGTATGAACGCGTAGAATTATTCTACGTTTCCCGCCCATTATTTTTGCGCAGGCGCAGACTAAGAATCCTCCAATTTAAACCACGTGGCTAGATTCGCACGTGCCAATGTGACGTTAATGGCAGAATATACTTTTGTACTCCCTCTCTTTCTCTTTTTCTATATATTTATATAAATATATATATATATATATGTATATATTGAAAAAAAAAATGAAATGAAAACAAGAAAAAATATAAAAAATACTATCATACTTCTTTAGTTCCTTATCGAGATAATATTTTTTAATTTAAAAAAATATTAAGATCTATTCGAGAAGATAAATAGAATGACGACGATGACAATGATGATGATTATCTGTGATCGTAGAATTTTTATTTAAAAAAAAAAAAAAAAAAAAAAAAAACAAAAAAACAAGAAAAAAAGATTATCATTTTTACTTCTGCACAGTAATTATTTTAAATCTATTTATTATTACGAATCGTTGATCCATACGTAAGAACGATATTTAATTTCTCTTTCAACGAAACGAAATCTCAAAATTTATCATTCCCGATAATTCTATCTCGTTTTACTTTGATAGATTGGTTTTTTTTCTTTTTTCTTTTTTTTTTTTTTTTTTTAACAAATGAAAATAATCGGCCGCCGTTCGAACGCATTCAATGGCTATTACGTTTTTATTCATTGGTACGTTCTTAAATGTTTTTCTTTTGTTTTTTCCTTTTTTCCATTTTATCCTTTTTATCTTTTTTTTTTCGAATGCTGCCTTTTCTATCATCGCCTTTGTATGCAAATGTTTGTAAATAAATGCAAAGAGATAGAGAGGAAGTTTGATAGATAAAAACTTTTATTCGAACTTTGCCCTCCTCCACGTGGTGCCTTTATTTTCTTACTTTCTCTCTCTCTCTCTCTCTTTCTCTCTCTCTTTCTCTTTCTCTCCCCCTTTCTCTTTCTTCCCATATATTCTTTCGTTTCTGTTACTTGTACGTCTCTCTCGTTACAAACCGCGAACATGTTCGTAGTAGTGAACATGCTAACTATTCGTCATTATGTGACCGCCAAGCGAATCAATGGGATTCGTGGTAACCCGTAAATTCGTGGCACAATAGCAATGAACGGTCAACCTCGAAATTCAATGAGTCCGACAGGAAGTTTCGACTTGGGGGATCATGCTGTCTTATATCTCTAGAAAGGTCAAATTTTCCATTTGCTTTTTGGAGTTTATATTATCGCTTTTCATGTTCCTTCTCTCTCTTTCTCTCCCTCTCCCTCTCTCTCTCTCGTTCTTTTCTTTTTTTTTTGTTCCTTTTCTTTTTTCTTATCGGCTTCTTCTTTATCGTCACAATTTATTTCTGTTCGTCTCTCGAATATCTCGAAATGTTCGTCTCCTTTCTTTCTTCCTTCATCCCCCTTCCCACTTCCCTTCTACCCTCTATATTTCGTTCATAACGCGACAATAAAATAAATGGGGAGAGATGAAAAAAAAAAAAAAAAAAAGAAAAAGCAACGAAAGAAAGAAGAGAAAGGAGGAAAAAGAAAAACGACGAAGTTTTGACGATTCTACGAAAGAAAAGTCTTCGAGGAAAAAAAAAAAAAAAGGAAAAGGAAAAAAGGAAAACAGGGACAAAATTTTTTTCTCAGCTCGAAATCTAAAAAGGAAAAGAGAAGTAGAGAGTGAGAGAGAGTGAGAGAGAGAGAAAGAGAAAAAAAAAAGAGAAAAAATTGTAGGTACCAATCTCATACGATCATTATCGGTCAACGAGATCTTCTATTTCTAAGTGGTTAATTTCATTTCGCATGATACATACATACATACATACATACATACATACATACGTACATACATACATACATACGTTACGTTATTTCTTTTGGACAGGCACTCGAAAAAAGAAAATCTTTTGAAAAATTCGCTAGCAAATCTTTTTTATTATAATTATATCTGCGAAATAATAGATCGTTCGTAAAAGAAGAGATATAATGTTCCCTTTCTTTCATTATTTTCGTTCTATCATCTTTCTCTATTTCTTTTTATTTATTTGTTTATTTTTTTTTTTATTCTTTATACGATCGACAACATTAAAAAGTTTTTTGACCGATCACGATAACGATACTATCAAAAATATCGACGATCAAATTCTATAATTTTCTTCATATCTCTTTGCTTTTCTATCTCTCTCTCTCTCTCTCTCTCTCTCTCTCTCTCTCTCTCTCTCTCTCTCTCTCTCTCTCTCTCTCCCTTGACGTGTTTAAATGGTGTCACGAAATGAAACTGCATTTATTATCAGTATTTGCTCGTACCCTTGTCTGTTGTTACCTTCTCATTGACATTGTCTCATACAATGTATTGTACCAATCTTTTCAAACAGAACTTATCGCTGAAAGAAATATGTTGCGATAAGAGATTGTTGAATATGAAGAATAAGAAAAAAAAAAAAAGAAAAAGAAAAAAGAAACCATAAATAAATAAACATAAGAAAGAAAAATAAAAATAAGGATAAGAATAGGAATAGGAATAAGAATATGAATAGGAATAGGAATAGAAATAGGAATAAGAATTAGTGAATGCATGTATATCTATATAGATATATGGATACATACATAGATAGATAGATAGATACATACATACATATATACATACATATACACACACACATATATATATATATATATATATACATATGTAGGTATGTAAATAGATATATTGTGTTATATAGGAATGTTCTCAAAGTCAGTTGAAAAAGCATACCTACTGTCTTGTATTTGTATTAACATCGTGCCTTATCTTACGTTGTTAGTAGCTCGTGTAGATATCATACTGAGCCCTGCCAAGAGAGTTATCAGAACAAATGAGCATGTAGGACCGTATATTCTATGGTAGAATGGATATAAAGTATAGGAGTGCAGTGAAAAGCAATAACAGAATATACGAGGATATATTACCTCTTGATACTTATCATATCTATGATGTACTCTTTCAAGTTTTATCGCATGTGTTATTTTGTTAATATCGATCACATTTCTTTTCCATTGAAATCATATTTTCGTTAAACGAACGATATTCTATTGAATATTATATTTATAATATAATGTTACTATTATAAATAAATAAATAAATAAATAAATAAATAAATATATATACACTATATTATTATTACTGTTATACATATAATACTATTTTTTTTAATTATATATATATATATTTTTTTTTTTTTTAAATCATTAATAATCGATGTATCACATATTATTATTACTGTTATACATATAGTACTATTTTTTTTAATTATATATATATATTTTTTTTTTTTTAAATCATTAATAATCGATGTATCACATATTTTTTCCGATGATCAAAACTTTCTTACGGATTGATTAAATTTATATTAATTTTATATCAATAATTTTCGCTCGTACAATTATCTCTTTATAAATGTATATTAGCGTTTGAAAATTATAATACATGTTAGATGCAAGAATTTAACAGTTGTATTGTCTTTTGTTGCATCGATTTAAAAAGTAAAACGTATCAATTTGTAATCATCTATGTTTTGCAACAATTGTTTACTTCTTATTTACTTTTCTTCGTAAATATGTCCATCGATGAAATTTCTTTTTGAATAATTCTTTATTTTATATCATTGTTATTATTATTATTACTATTATTTTATTTTTCTTCTTTTCTTTTCTTCATTCGCAATCATTTCACTAGACAAGAACTATCGTGGTTACTTTTGATTGGTTTGCCTCAAATTACAAACTGCAATACGATGCCGATCGTTGGGCCGCTAAAATAAGATTGTGTTATACTAAGTGAACGGAAGTACGGACTAACTTTCGTCACATAAGTCATTGATTTTATAGGACACGCACTTGCCCTCGTAATAATAATAATTATTCATAACAATTCGAAAGGTCATTATGATCCTGAATAAAGATTTATTTGAAATTCTTCACTTTCGCACTGATATATTATTTTTTTTTATTTAAAAAAAAAAAAAAAAAAAGAAAAAAAAAGCTTTCTTTTTATTATTATTATTACTTAAAAAGTATCTTTTTTCTTTTTTCTTCTTCTTCCCCCCCCCCCAATGATATCAACAAACATTATCGGTAATTTTTTCGAATCGTTTGCAATCAATCGCAATGGTTCACGTAGTCGTCGATTTGATTTACGATCGTACTTTCATTCACTTCACGTACTTGCAACTTTTTTTTATTTATTTATCTTTTATGGCTTTTTTTTCTTTTTCTTTTATTTTCTTTTCTTTTTTTTCTTTTTTTTTTTTTTTTAATTTTGCCTTCGTTCGCTTGAACGATTGAAGATCGACCGATCGGGATCAATGTTGTTGCATTTGAACAATGTTTTGCCAATGGCGCATATTATATCGTAAGGACGACGTTCAAACGATTCGATTGTTTTATCGATATATTTAATATCGATCCTGACTGGTCGATATTTAATATCGTTCGAGCGAACGAAGAAGAAAAAGTAAAAAAGAAATAAAAAAAAATACAAAATCAAAAAATCTGCCTTGTGTGAACGTTACAGTCGATTGCAACTGTTGACGAGAAAATTTAATTTACAGTAATAATAAAAAATTTTTTAATGGATCTGTGACATTTCGTAACTATTGTTCTTTGATTTTGGGGGAAAAAAAAAGAAAAAAGAAAAAAGAAAAAAACAAAATAAAAATAGAAAGAAGAAAATAAAAATAAGAAAATAAAAATAAAAACTAAAAATAAGTAATAAAAAATTAACAATATTATCGTCCCGTTTCATTCATTATATATCGAATACACTCGTATTCGATGTTCTTTTTAATT